CCCAAGTCCATGCCTTTCCTCTTACTTACTGACCCTCCCAGAACCTGATGTGTAGGAGTTGGGGGTACCCAAGGCAGGGAATCTAGACCCATTTGGGGCTCAACACCCTATACAATTTTGACCCTAGAGGGGTCCCTATTGGTCAAGTGAGAAGTTATCAATGGGACTGAAAAGGCCCTGCCTGGTCCATCATGCATTCATTTAACAGATATTTGTTGAGCTCCTACTATGTGCCAGGCACTGGGCTAGGCCCTGGGGATGCAGCGATGAACCAGGAAGACAAGCGCCTGCCCTCATGGTGCTGCCAGTCTAGGGAAGGGAGCGCTATGTTATCAAGTAGATAAATGTCAGATTGTACTGCTATGATAGAAATAAGCAGGCAGATGAGATAGAGAGGATGGGTCAGCCAGCGAGAGCCTCTTAGCAGAGCTGAAATTTTATTTAAGACCTAAAGGAGAAGGTGACCAGGATCACAGGCCTGGGAGAGTCAGGTGCAAAGGCCCTGGGGCAGGCAGGAGAGTGCTGAGTGCCAGGAGCAGCCATGAGGCCAGCATGGGGGAGATGAGCAGGATGAGGCCAATGAGGTGACACAGGACCAGGGAGTATAAGGGCCATAATGGCTGAGGAAGGAGTTTGGATCCTGTAGATCTAAGAGTCTGGTTGTAGGATCTTAGGGTCTCTTTTACATGCCTGTCTGACCTCCCCAGAAGTGTCTCGGGGCCCCTTGCCGTCCCCATGGGGCACCCCCTCATGCTTTCCCTCCCCACGGCAGGCCTGCTGGCTCAGGGGCAATATGACCTGGACCCACTGCCGCCATTCCCAGACCACGTCCAGTACACCCATTACGGTGACCAGATCGGTAAGGCCTTGCCCTCCCCGCCAGGGGCCTCCAGCCCTGCCATGTCATCAAGTTAAGCCAGGGACCTGGTGCGGGGAGGGGGAGGTCCCTGGCTCAGTGGTGACGTCCTTTGCCCCTAGGGCTGGGAGATAGCCTGACCCCCACCAATTTTCATTCATCTCTGTTTTCAGACAACCCGGACTACTATGATTATCAAGGTAAAGGGTAGGGGCTGGACAGGACGGTGGGCATCTGGGGGGGGAGCCGGCCGCCTTATCATGTCCCGTTGCAGAGGCCACTCCGCGGCCCTCTGAGGAGCAGTTCCAGTTCCAGTCTCAGCAGCAAGTCCAGCAGGAAGTCATCCGGGCGCCCACCTTCGGTAGGCAGCACCCTGGGAGTGGGGTCTGTGTGTGTGGGTGGGTGGGGGGAGCGGTGACCTCTCTCAATGATCTCTGCCTGCCCCTCTCCCAACACCAGAGCCAGGAAACGAGGAGACGGAGCCCACAGAGCCAGGGCCTCTGGGTAAGAGCTCTCTTGTCCCCCGGAGTCGGGGGAAGTGGGGTGGGGCGCTGGTAGAACGGAGACTGCCAGGCCTTGTGCTCTTGCCCGGGTAGGTGGCGGGCAGGAGGCCTGCTTTAGGCGGCCCCCCTAGGCAGCTCTGGGCAGTCCCCCAGCCCCCTGGGCCTGGCCTGAGGTTGAATTGGCGGCAGCCTCCGGTGGGGACCTCTGCTCCCAGGCGCTGGGGCGCGGCAGGGAGCGTGTTCCCTTCCTGCCGGCGGTAGTGCTCTGGCAGGCAGGTGACGAGGGGCAGGGAGCCAAGGCCGGCTCAGCAGGCCCCACGCTGCCCAGCCAAGAGCCCGAGAGCCAGACTGAGGGATCCCGTCTGGCCCTCGTGAGCTCAGTGTGCAGTGTGCTCCTGTGAGGTGGGTGTGGACTCTGTGACCGTGTGTTGGCTATGGACTTGTGTCTGACTTTGTGTGAATATATGCGTAAGTGTGGGTGCGAATCTGTGTACAGGAGTCCGTATGTATAAATACATCGTATAAAACTGGGCGGCCTCAGGTCCAACCACACTGTGTGTGCATGTGTTGGGTGTGTGTGTGTGTCTGGGCCAGAGGGTGCAGGGCGTACCTAGACTCTGAGATGAGAGCCAGTCTCTGGTGGGCAAAGTTGGGGGCTCCCCCCCAGTTCTGGGCCCTCAGCCGCAGCCCCCCAGTCTGATCGCACCTGTCACCCAGACTGCCGCGAGGAGCAGTACCCGTGCACCCGCCTCTACTCCATACACAAGCCCTGCAAACAGTGTCTGAACGAGGTCTGCTTCTACAGGTGAGCACGGGCCTGGCGAGGGGGAGGGGGCAGAAGGGGCGGCTCAGGCCAGCCCCCGTGGAATTCGGGGAAAGATAATGAATCCTGGAGTTGACTGGGGATTGAGCCCTAGCCTGGGGGCCGGACTCCCGGCTCCTATACCAGGCCCTGCCCAGGCTCTCCCAGGGGGCTGGGCCAGGGTGGGGCTGACACCTCCCTGGCCTCCTCCCCCAGCCTCCGCAGAATGTACGTCATCAACAGGGAGATCTGTGTCCGCACAGTCTGCGCCCACGAGGAGCTGCTCCGAGGTAGGCAGCCTCCGCCCGACCTCTGACCTCTCCCCGCTCCAGCGTCATCCATCCCCGTCTACCACCTGATGTTTATAAACACGTGCTTTGTGTGTGGGGGTCACTTCCAGGGGATCCTGAAATCAGAGTGGGGAGCAGTTCCCATCACCCAGCCCCACCCTGATCCCCATTCCTTTCTGCCCCCACAACAGCTGACCTGTGTCGGGACAAGTTCTCCAAATGTGGGGTGATGGCCAGCAGCGGCCTGTGCCAATCCGTGGTGGCCTCCTGTGCTCGTAGCTGCGGGGGCTGCTAGGGTGCAGCTGGCACCTGAGCCCAGCCCCTCCTCAGATCCGGGGCCCTCGGGCCCTGCCTGACCTGGTGCTTTCCTTCTCGCCTGGCCTTCCTTTTATTCTGTCAAAAGTTAGTGGACTGCGGCCCAGGGGGTTGTCTCAGGCCCCTCCCCAGGCTGTGACCACCCCAGAGGCACAATGGGGGCTCCCCACTGCCCAGTCTTTACCCCCAGGTGGGGGGCATCCGGGCCTCAGTGGGACTGGGCCTCCCAAGTGCCTTCTCCACCCCTGAGGTAGGCTGTGCCCCTCCCCCCAGCTGGTCTGCTTGGAGTTCCTACAGCCCCTGGGCCTAGACCACCTGTTTTATACAAAATTAAAAACAAGTTTTTACAAAAGATTCACTCATTTTTCAGAGAACACAAAGCGGGTGGTGGCCAGGTGCCGCCCTGGTCTTGTTCTAGAAAACGCTGAGGCTACCTGGCCTCTTGAGAAGGGACTGTCCAGCGACCTCAGCTTTGCCTCTGCTGTCCCAGTCCTGCCTCCCCTCTCACTGGCGTCAGCTCTGACCTGCCAGATGGCATGGCAACTGCCCCCAGGTGACAGCGTAGATAGAAGGTTCAGGAACACAGCTTTCTTGCTGTCAGGGCCCGAGTCCCCCATCAGAGGATACAAGCCCAGGCCAGAGGCGCCAGGACGGAAGCATAAGGGTGTGGACGGGGTGTAAGGCAGGAGGTCAAGGTAGGTGGGCGCTGAGATCAAGGGCTGTGGGAGGAGCGGT